AATTGATGTAAATTCGTCGATAAAGTTTAAGTAAACAGTCATTTTCTACTGAGCTACATGCAAACGAACGTAAAAACTCCCAATGATGTTGGGAATTGTATGCATCGTGGGACGGAAACAACCCATAGACTTTGTAAGCCATGCATAATGCGCCTGCGTGGCCCTAACAATGTTGGTAGAGCTGTGCAAACGGATTTATCATTGCTGCCCTACGCTTCTGGGATCACAGAACAAAAGAAATGTTGGGAGTTGTTGGCTAAAAGGTGTGAATGGTTTCAAACTTTGCGCAACAACTCCCAACAACACGCAACAACATGCAACAGGGTGTGCAAACGGACGCCACATGTAACATGCAAAAATTTTGGGAGTTGATGGCCAGCAAAGTTGCGTCGGATGGCATGGGGTTTAATTTCATTCGAAAACGTATCTTTTTTCTCTGGTGTGGACGCCATACTAAATCACTTTGCCTGCTTGAGTCGAAAAGATCCGCACTGAAGTTTAGTTGGTGACAGGACAAGCGGGAAAATAAGTGTGTAACATTTTTGACTTGCTCTCCCTTTACCACAATGCTCACAAACCAAAACAGAGATGAACGCAAGTTTTGTCGACACTCTAGGTGAAAAAATGTTGAAGTCGATCCTAAAAAGACGTACCGTTTTACTCCCAAACTATTATTAATTATTATTTATAAATTTCACAATAACGGATCCGGACACTTCATCTTTAAACTAAAGTCAGTTTATGAACATATAAAAATCATATATGTGAACTGCGGAGTGAAGAATTATTTGAAGGAAGATCATCTCAAACGTATCTGCGATGATCTTCCTTCAAATAATTAAAGTCAGTTTATCGTAGTTTTACAAATGAAGGTAAAGAATTGGGAAAAACCAGAAACGTGTTTGCAATCCTTGATATTTAGTGTTAAAATGTTATCTGATAAAACTTTCTCGCAATCAAAACAAGTTCGAGGCTTGAGGAAACAATTTCACACAATTTCTGCTTTTTCTGCTTTTTGTCGCCCGAAGCCTCGGTGACTTAGTTCTTAGGAATTCAGGAAATGTTTACTAGCCGTAAACTCACAAAGTACGATCAGGCTTTCTTTTTTTTAAGGGAAGGCGTGATCGCAAGCTATAAGCTCATTGAGTAAATACCTTCATGAGCTGATCGGCAAAATGGAAGCTTTCGTAAATGTGGAAGCGTGTAATTCCCACGATGATTATTATCCAAAGTAACCTCATACAACTCCTTTTCATGTGGACAAAAAATCCTTGTCACAAAGCCAGTAAGATATTTCTGGCTCTCATTCATCAATGGTGACAATGCAATCACGTGATCACCTAAAGTGACCCACGCTGGAGTGGAGTCTGGTACAACTACAGTCCTGTCTTCATAGCTGCACTCGATTTGACCTCCGTTGTCCAGTGTGACTAAAAATTTTAGTCCTTCTGAATTAGCCACCTTTCCAGGAAGATATTCACCGTCTGATGTTCTTGTCAGAATTCGACTTCCTTCACAAAAAAAGGAACGAGTCTGGTTTGGCGAAAAGTCATCTCAGTGTTCGGGCTCATTAATGAAATTTGTTTTGTGACTACTTATTTGACTTTGTAGTTAGTAGGTAACTTAAGCAACAGGAACAACCACGACTACGGCAGTGAAAACGTCAGTTCTTTAAAAAAGAATGAATTTGTGTCCTTTCAAACTTAATCGCGTCTATTCGGACCCACTCTGTTTGTCAAATGTAGGCCATTTTTCCTGAACTTGAATTCTTAAGACTTAATCCAGGTTCAAAACGAGTAAGGAAAATTCGTCTTCGTATGTTCATGGCCTCCTATTTCACGTTGTAGTTGTCCGGTAAACGTCAAAGAAGTGTACTAAAAAAGCGTGATGCTCGTGCAGAGCTAGCTGTTCTTTAGCTCAATAGAACCAATTTTATTTTGGACGTTGTCATTCTCGTTGTCGTATAGTGGTTTGCTTAAGCGCCCTATTCTCGGTTATCAACAGCGAAGAGGCTCTGACACTCTCTGAATACAGTGTAGAACGATAGCTAACGATGGTTAAGTTTAACTAGGTTTGAACTTAAGGCTAGTCGTCTTTCCAAGGAACATGTGCCTAAAGTTATGGAGCCTTCACGCCACGATCCCGGCGATCCGAGGTCTACTTATGACAACACAAAACGATACCCTTAATAGATCTTTAAAACACCCTAAAATTTAAACTAGCTTGAGTCTTTTTATTCTTGCCCTTTTTGTTATTTTCTAGTGCATTGTAAATGTATGATTGAAAAAATGTTTCCGTTAAAGAACATTAAATATTAAATTATACCCAAATAGTATACAGATAATGTACCTTCAGGAACGAAGTTTTCCACAAAGAGGAAAACACGCAGCGATACTGTTAACACAAACAATGTTGCCTTCACTAGGATACACATCATACAAACTAAAGGAAAATGAGAAAGAAAAACATAAAACTGAAAGCAACAAACGGACTTTCTTTCTAAAGATCACTTTTGCTACACCAAATTCCACCTGATTTTCTGATACTGGCACTCCTTTTTGGATTTTGAATTTCACCGAATAATCCGACAATCTGAATTCAAACTAAAGCGAGAACCCTGATGTACATGCAATTGCGTTACATAAACGGCCACTTAAAATAGCGACAGCTTAACATTAAAATATATTTAACAAGAATTTTATACTAGCCATGATATATTTATACTGGTATACTTATAAACATTAACAGTTTAAATTTTAGGTACATTTGATCACTGTTTTAACAGATAATACGCCAATTTCTTTTTTCACTTTTTCCTAGATAAATTTTAATAATAATCTATACACATTATTGATGTTCAATATTTCCCATCATCGGTATTTTTTACATTTATAGTTGGTACTCAGAGACGTATCATGAAAGACAGTTAGTGGATAATTTAAGCCAAACTGTTTCAGAAAAAAAAATTCTCGAGATAACCGGTAACTGATTTCCGAAAATAGATTTATTCACCTTGAAACTGTTATCCATGGCTGTGGTGGATGGAAGGGGGGAAGTTATTTTCTTCTCTATATACATCTCTCGTGTTTGGAAATTTAAAATGGTCAATATATCATAGTTTTATATCAGTGATCACGTTTCCTAAAGATTTGAAGTGTGCATGTTCACAATTCTTACCTGATATTTTACAGCAAAAGTCAGATAAGAACCCCTCTTCGAGTTATTTTCTTAGTAACACAAGAAGCATTTCTCTGTTTGTACATAATAGTGATATTGAACTCTTTCAGCAAATATGTCAATCATTCAAGGCTGTAGAAAATTTTTGTTGGAAAATCAAACAATAATTTCACTTCCATTTTTTTAATAGAAGATACATCGTTCAACCTGTTTCGATGTTCCTGAATTAATGATTATTCACTTTTTTAATTGTTACTGGAGAACAAAAAGAAAACCAACTGCACCCGAGTTGACTAAATAATGAGATACATGTGTCTGCTTCCATAACACCACCTTTTACCAGCCAGTCATAATCATTAACACTTCTATAAGAAAAGATACTACTCGGAGATACTAGTAGATTTCTCGAGCTATTCTAAATCCGAGTTTAAAATATATGTATGTATGTATGTATGTCGACCTCAACAGTTAACATTCACACAAAGAGGAGCTTTTGAAACTTGCAGAGAATAGTATGCAAGCTTAATTCGCCCTGAATTGTGTCGTATGTTTTAAAATCACATGGCACCAAAAGTAGGCGACACTAGTTTTTAGAAGAATGACTGATAGTAAAACGATGGCATTTTTTCAGATACGACATTTAGAGACACTTATTCTAGACTAAGAAACAATGCATACTAAATCAACCTGTTTTTAAACAATTAAAATAGCAGTTTATGATTCTTAACTTATGCATGGTTGATTGAATATAGTAAGGAAAGTGCTAAAAGAAACTTTCAGAAAATTTAATTGAAAGATTGTTACTTGGGAAAGTTTGCTTCTTGGCAACTGTTAAATTACAGTTATTTATTTACTCTTTATACCTCCCTGGTAGCAAGGGTAGGCAAACTAATAACCATTTATTAAAACGAAGAAATAGTTTNATTTCTCGAGCTTTTCTAAATCAGAGTTTAAAATATATGTATGTATGTATGTCGACCTCAACAGTTAACATTCACACAAAGAGGAGCTTTTGAAACTTGCAGAGAATAGTATGCAAGCTTAATTCGCCCTGAATTGTGTCGTATGTTTTAAAATCACATGGCACCAAAAGTAGGCGACACTAGTTTTTAGAAGAATGACTCAGTAAAACGATGGCATTTTTTCAGATACGACATTTAGAGACACTTATTCTAGACTAAGAAACAATGCATACTAAATCAACCTGTTTTTAAACAATTAAAATAGCAGTTTATGATTCTTAACTTATGCATGGTTGATTGAATATAGTAAGGAAAGTGCTAAAAGAAACTTTCAGAAAATTTAATTGAAAGATTGTTACTTGGGAAAGTTTGCTTCTTGGCAACTGTTAAATTACAGTTATTTATTTACTCTTTATACCTCCCTGGTAGCAAGGGTAGGCAAACTAATAACCATTTATTAAAACGAAGAAATAGTTTGTGTGCTTTAAACGCAAATAAACAGAAAATTTCAAAACTGTAACGGCAAATTGATTATTAAAACGCAATTTAAACGATTTAGTTAGTGTATATAAAACTCTCATTTCTATTTCAGGACAAATTCAGTGATCAATTATGACAGAGATTTGGAGACGTGGGATTTTTTTCATTTCCAACGTAATTACTATATTCACAGGCTACAGGCTACCTTACCTTAAGTCCGTCCTGCAGTAGTTTACATTTTATACCTAATCCGTACTTTAGTCTGTAGTTAACAATTTAACCCTAGTTTTGACCCGGCGACTATTCGCCTCTAGTTCAAAGAGCGACTGCTAAATGTTTCACTTGTGATTAATGAGTCGTAAAAATGAAAAGAATTGCTCTATCTCTCCTCTATTTCCACTGGTATCAATAACGAAAATAGTCAGCGCCTAGTGGACGATGGGAAGAGAAAAGGCAAATTCCTCTTCAACCCTTTTCCCATCATCCCTCGCGTGCTAGGGGCACACTGAAGAGGCCTCCGCGTTGCCTTTGCGCGGGACAAAGGAATTGCTATCATTAAAGGTCTTCTGTATTTTGCTTCAAATTCCTGATGGAAAGAGCGCGCTAATTCACACGAGGTTAAAACGGAATCCATTAGAAAATTGGGTAATTTTTTTTTTTAGTGGACAAAAACCTTGTACCAGAATAACTTCAAGCATATTAATTATTGCACCCTTTTTACACTTTTCAAGGGCTTTAAAAGTAATAAGCTATATGAAACAACTCCAACGAAAAGGTTCTTATGGGAGCTCGAGAAAACTTCAAAAGCTTCAAATTTCACAAAATGAAATCTTACGCATGACGATTTACTCGTGTTTGCTCAATTCTTGTGAGATTTGAAAATTATTTTCTCTGGCTCCCATAAGCAATTGTCTTTGGTGTTATAGGCGAATCTTTGTTTACACTTTTTGCCTCATTTACATACGTTTATCACTATCTGATGACGCTAATAAAATAAAAACTCTGAATATTGAAAGGGTATAACAGTTTCAGTTATCTCTGAAAATTTGAGCCCAATGCACCGAAAGGTTTTGGAGAAATTCTCTTCAAAAAAGTGGAAATTTTACTTCGAAAGTATGGCTCATTAAGTTTTTGGCCACACAGCAATTTCGCAGTTTTTTATGCCTGATATACCCTTCAATATTGCTTGCAAAGAGCTGAAAATTGCACAAATTGCTCAACTTAATCAGATCTTTCAACTTTTGCATTTAGTTCATTTATACGGCCACGGATTCTATGAGTTAAGTCGTTTGCTAATGAGGAAAGATGAGGACGACTATTAAAGATGACTAATTATATCAATAGCCCTTGAAAAGTGTAAATAAAGGTAGTTATACCGGATTTAATGAGTTAAAGAACCACCTAAGGCGGAATTTTGAAAATGGCCCTGTTCTAATCCTCACTTAAGAGAGATTGTGCCAGGCTATGACATCGTCACATCCAGAAGGCGATGTTGCCGTCTTTTAAAGGGACAAGCAGATGATAGACCTATTCTAGGTGTTAATTTTAGGGAGGCTTCTGTGACGGCTGCATTATTCAACAGAGTGTTTTCACATGACGTCACGTCGGCCATATTGGTGTCCCTGAGCAATGAAACGGCGGCCATGTTGGTGTCCCAAAACAATCCTCTGGGAGTTGAACTCTTTTCTTATGTAAATGATTTCTTTTGTTCCATAAATTTGCATAGATGCTGGCCACGTGAGTGAAAACGCTCTATAGTTGCCGCGTTCTGCCTTTGAACTACAGGCTCCCGAGGAAGCGTAGTAAGGATAAGATGAAGAAAGACTCTTCTCTACCCCTCCTCCTTCTCCCGTCGGTTTTTCGTTTCTTTTCGCTCCCAATGATGTTTTCGTGGTGAGGCCACAAGTTTTATTTAAGATAACGTCATTGTTCTTAGTCTAATTGAATAACAAGTTGCACAAACCTTACAGAAAATTAATTAACCATTAAAGCCAATTGAAATCTAGATAATTTCTTGCCTGTAGCGGAAGCTAAAATTGAGCTAGATTGTTTTCAGAGACTAGTGTAGTGTACTGAAAACAAACTATTACTTTCCTTGATTCTTATCAAGTAAGCTCAAGCACATGAAAAGGGAATTTCAAACGCGGCACATCCTTTAACTCCGTACATAAAATCGGATCATTTGTAGACGTCTCCTCTGATTCCAAGGTTACTGGAGCAAGATTCAGAAAAAGCAATGATAGCGTCTTTTGGCAGGACATAGGACCACACATTAACCCTAGCCAAGTTTCCTACAAAGCTCTGGTCTTCGTCGAAATCGTAGCCGGCTTCATCCTGTTCCTGCCACAGAACCAAAGATCCCCCAGCCTTGATGGTGTAGCCCTTCATAAAGTCTGTCTCTTGTTTTTCCATTACTCCATCTTTGAAGAACTGATAAGTGTCCTCGTCGTTGTTCCCTGTCACGCAGATAGCATGCCATTTGCCATCATTTGCCGATATCCCTATAGTCCTGTTAGTGAAAAACGAAAGTTAGTGTGCCATACCGAATAATCCGCTTTATCAAAACAGCTGAGCTAAAACAATCTCGTGCCTGTACTATTGATGACATCAGTACCCGATATCGCAAACATCTTCCAAATCTCTTAAACGCTGGCTGATTATAAAAAATTATCCATTGTATTTGTGCCATTCAGCGAGGAAGAAATATTTTGAATGAATATAGTTTTTTGGCTATCTAAGTGATTTCGGGATTTCTCGCGTTGGTCTTGATATAATAGATCCTTTATCGACAAGGATTGTTCGATCTATATGGCTGGATATTGGCCTTGATTTCGTCTTGTATCATAACATCGCTCCAAAAAAGCTTGGTCAACATTGAGCCATCTTGACTTCACGCTCGGTCATGATCATTCAGGTTTCTATGTAGGATTTATCGTTTGGGGAAGTTTGAGCTACCTAGGGGGTCCGGGGGCATGCTCCCCCAGATACTTTTTTGAATTCATATGCGCTGAGATGCAATCTGGTGCATTTTGAGACACAATTTTTAGAAATGTTACAATATGCGCACTGACCTCGTCGCGTTAGTATGATTTTACCGATATAGTTACTTATATACTGTAATGATAACAATATTTTTGGGGGGGAGGCGTCTACCCCTCAAATACCCTACGGATAGAACCCTATTCAATTAGGTACGGCGCTTATTCGAGAGCAAACCTCTTTTGATCTAAAACGGTATGACCTTCAAAAATCCATACTCTGGCTGGATTCACTGGATAAAATCGAAAATCTGAAACTTAAGAGTTAAGTCCAGGCAAGCAACCCTCCTTTTAATACGCGGGAAATTCAAGGAGTTTTATGGTTCCCACCATATTGTTATCACGCTGAAGAATTCGGATTTTTCGGTTTTTCTATATTTTTTTCTCTTGTTTTCGAGTTTTTCCAAGGAAATACACCATTAATTGAATATAACGTTTTTCTCTTCACCACCAATGAGCAGCTTAAAATTATCGTAGTTAATCAAAAGCAGTTCTTTATCCTCTCCTTGAACGGCATAACTAAATGGCGTTCCTGCATTAGTGCCGCTTGATTTCATCCAGAAACAGACGGTAAACGCGCTTAAACTGGGCATGTTCCACACCTGGGCATAATTGGTCACTTCTTGTTTTGGAAAACGAAGGGCAAAATCTTTAAATGATAGAAAAACGACTAAATGCGTACGTCAATGATTTCGTTTCATATGACTGCATGGCACTGAGTTCTTCCCTGTGGTGTTACGTCAATGGGGAAGTGAAATACAAAGATTTGGTTTTATCAACTAGTGTCTTGGCTAGAAAGAAAGAGAAGCTGATCTTTTTAGACCTTCGTCACGGAGCAAATCCGGGGATTGTTGGTTGTGGGTGTGGTTTACATACGGGGGGGGTTGAAACTATGTTCAGTGGTAGGAGCATGGTAAAATGGAAAAGGGTGACAGGGTGGCGCATCACGTTGGCTTTTTTTGGGCCATCACGCATCACAGGGAAAACTGAATTAGCCATCACGCATCATTTAAATGAGGTGTAAATACAGTAAGTTAACATGGCAAATATATCAACTCTTGAATGAATAAACTCTAAATATGCTTTCAGGGTCCTTTTTGGGTAGAAAAGAAAATGATTTCATGAATATAAGTTTTGAATGTCTGTGCTTCTAGTTTCAAATGATATTCACCAATCACTGAAATCTATAAAGAATTAAACGCTTCACGCGTTGTAAATATAGAAAATCACGCACCATACAGCAGAAAGGGCAGCTATGCCCAATCACGCCTCACGCGGCTAATTTGTGCCCGATCACGCATCTCGCTGATAGTTTGTGACCCATCGCGTCACGGAATACCCCTTTGCCACCCTGATGAAAAAACGTTACACTCTCACTTGTAAAGAGCATCCATTCTTGGCCCCAATCCCCTCACCTTTATTCCATCTCCCTTTCCTATTCGACGCTTGCAAAGGAGGCTATAAAGTTCTAGGCAATAATTTTCATTCGAACAGTTATTTTACAGAAAGGTGTCGTTGGTTACCACTAAGCTTTCCGTAATTTCTTTTGACAAAAAGAACACGGAAATTGTTCGAGTTCTTCTAACATACATGTCCAGGAGCCCATCAGGGGTTGAAGGGCTCCTAGCACGTATTACTGTCTCTTTGAACATGACAATGGTAAAGGTATGACTTGCTCTCCATAGGGTAACTTCTGTCGAGTCCAGCAAAGCAAAGACCAACCACGAGCGAAGCAAGTAACGAGAACATGGTGCAGTCGTAGCTGAAAGCTAAAAAAATAGAAACCTTCTTAGATGACTTTTAAAACTAAATTTACTAAACCTTTATCAAGGGCTGAAAGATGTTTTAACACTAAGAAAATGCATTGATTAGTGGGTTTTCAAGAAGGAAAAGGAATAATACATCGACCTGTGGGCTGTGGTGGTTTTATATACATGCATCATCATTCTTGTAACAAGTTATACGTTTTCTTTTCTTTTTTGCCTGACCCACTTGCTTTTCAAGTAGAGCGGGAAATGAGAAAAAAAAAACACACTACAGGGGTATGGCTTTTAATGCTTAAGATTGTGGATTAGCCAAAAAACGGTTTTTTACGCTTAGTTTAAACATAGTAATGCTTCAGGTTTCTACTATTTCTGAGCAAATGTCATACGTCAAAATATGCTGATAAGCAGTGTTTGGTTTCTCAGGGGCGGATCCAGGATTTTTTTTAGGAGGGGGTGCACTCGTCTCTTGCTCTACTTCAACACCAATAAATCACATAGTTTTTTTTTTTTTTTGCAGAATACCAGATGTATTAGAAAACCGCAGGTCATCTCAGAGGGGGTTCGCACCCCCTGCACCATCCCCCTAGATAAGCCCCTGTTTCAACAGGCTCAAATGAATAAAAATCTTAGGAGAATTTGCAAAATGATCATTTAAGATTGGGTTTATAACTGCATAAAATAAAAAGTGAATAATTCGAAATTCCTACTTTCACTTAAAAAGCTCTACTCACTTTTCACTCTCAGCTGTATAAGCTCATCAAGCAGAAGTCGCCAGTAGACCGCAAGTGGAAATAACTACAAGCGATATGTTGACGCTTTATATGTACTCATCAAAAAGGAAAAATGGCGATGGTTCTCGAGGACTAACACTAACAGCCGATTATTTGAGAGAGAATTGTTGCCATGCTATAGCAGAATTGCCGGCCATTTGAAAGGAACGCCCGTTTGTTAAAGAAAAGGTCTCTTGGACGACCTAACCCATAAACTTCCCTCCCTTGCAACCATACCATAACTGAATTGTCCTGTTTGCTAGACCCGGAAATTGCTATGTCCTGGTTATATAATTAAACCTCTTCTTGAGTCATTCTTTTTAGGAATTTGATATGAAAAAACAACGGGGGAAAATAGTGAGAAACCGCGAGCATTTTGCATATTTTATTACTGCGAGATAGCATATGGTCCACTTCGAGTCCCCGCTCTGACTGCTACCTACATTTCTTCCTCGGTAATCTCTAACCAAGCTCCAGTTGTCGACAATGCTTGAAAAACTAAAATGTGTCTTCGCAAACTGCGCTTAATTCTAAAAATAATGGTCAAGTCTTGTTATTAAAGACTTCTATACTACTGTATATTTAAAGCATTGAAATTGTTTCCTGTCGTACGTCTGTTGCTATAGATGGCGTCATGGATTGCAAGGATGATTAAACTTGGATCGAAACCGCTTGAAAAAGTTTGGCCAATTTTTTCAAGTTTAAATGCCATTCCTGGAAAAATTGCCCTCCAAAAATGTTATGGTGAGTGTTCCCCGGTGAAATTTAATTTGTTTGACATCTTATTCATAACTCTACAGGAACATTTCGTGTATGGCTAAAAGACGTTAAACACAGAATTGCCTTCAAACAGCATGGCCCGTTTAAAACTCTGACTGGTTATAAAAGAAACTAATAGCAGCAATATATTACACATACAAGGTTTGAATTACAGACCTACTTACAATCGTATAATAATATGTGGAAAAATAAATCACAAAGACCCAAATGGCAAGCTAACTGGTGTGTCTCCCCCTTCTCGGTAGACTGGGAATACAGCCCTTACTCCCCGCTCCTCAACACCAGGGACGTTTTATTCGCAGGCTAGCTCGCTGGGATTTGAATCCGTGACATTATGTTAAGCCCGACTTTATTGTTTAATCATGAATGATATGATGCTGATGAAGTGCGCTACTAGGCGGAAAGTGCGTCAACCAGAAACAAAAGCATTTCGATGATGTAAAAAAAATACATGTGGAGGGTTTTTAACCAGAACGCTATTTCTTTAAGGGGCAGCTTTTTTCTAAACTTCAATGACGTAGAACCGCAAGTTTAGCATAATTAGAGTTTATGGACTAATTGGTATAGTGCAATAACAAACGGATAAAACATTGCAGCATTGCTATGGGATATAGTCATTGTCTTATTAAATATCAACGATAACTTCGAGCTGCGAGCTTCTTGGATACGAGGGCGTGGTTACGGTCCAGTTTCCATATCCAATATTATCCAACACACGAGAATGAAATAATTGTTTCATTACAAAAACAGTGTGTGCGGACTAATTCACTGCAACCATGGGTAACACTGCATAATTTTTACTCAGGATGATTATTAATTGCGTTTGCGGTCTAATTCACAGTAACCAAGAGTGTCGAATGAAAACTGTATTTTTAGATAATTTGTTGTATTTATACTCGATCCAAAAGCAGGCTATGGAATTGTCAACTTTTTAAACTTTTAACGATGGCAGGGACGAAGCTTAAAAATTCTAGCGGCTCGCACTTATGTTTTCCACCTTATTGTGGGTTCCAAATCATTTTCCTCAAGAAAAATTTGAATAAACGCTCTTTTTTATTAGAATACTGCGAGGTAATCTTCTATCTTGCAAAAGCCTGGTTGCAGAGTCGTTCAGCTCTGTCGTTCAGGTTTTGTTTCAAGCGCTTAAAGAGTTTAAAGCTGACATTTCTACCCCTCTTTTCTCCGTCTTCAGAGCAGATCAAATGTAAATACAACAAATTATCCAAAAAATGCACTTTTTACTCGACACTCTTGATTACTGTGATTAAGACCGTAAACGCAATTAATAGTCATTACTCCGCATCATTTCCCATGGCTGCTATGAATTAATCTATGCACACTGTTTGCGCGTGTTCGGATACAGATATTGGACGTTGCCAACGAACTCGTATCCAACGAGCTCGCAACTCCTGGATTAATTATATTCTCAGACAAACCTTGTAGCCCAATCTACAATTCTATATCTGTTAGCAAAAACTGTTTGAATGCAGAGGTCCACGCAACGCTTAGATGAAACTGACTGGTTCCTCTCGCGGATCCCTTATTAAAGAGATGCTGTAGTCGGACGTCATTTGATGTGTAAAATGAAACAAAACTGAATGCAAGGCTGGCAATACGGTAAAGGGCTGGTTTATTATAGGCCAATATGAGCCTTCCTCAGAGCCAGAGCTATACCGAAAATATTGTTAGCCGAAATATTGGCCTATAATAAATCAGCCCTTTGCCGCAGTGCCAGCTTTGCATTCAGTTTTGGTTCGTTTTATATCTGTTGTTACTGCATGCGAATGAGCAACCGTGTCAAAGTCTGCTTCATCAAAGAAATAGGACTACAGTCAAATCTCTTTAATACAGACACCAAAGGGACAGAACCAAGTGTCCGCTTTACAGAGGTGTCCATATTATAGAGGTAGGGACTGTGTGATTTTTGGCATTTCTGGGACCAAACGAACTGTCCGTAATAGAGAGGTGTCCGTATTATAGAGGTGTCCGTAACGAGAGGTTAGACTTTCGACTGATATAGTGAAGTGTACTCGCTGTAGTAGCTGTATCTACTGAAGAGGCATTCTCACGTAATAGTCATGACCAAACAATGAAGTGGCAGGGAGCTAATAAACATAAGGTGATTTAAAAAAACAGTTAGTTAGCTGGAGGAGGCAAACCTGCCAATATATTGCTTGTTGTCTTCAAGCATGGTCGAGAGTTGGAGATTTGGGATTTTGGACTTTGATCGACACGCTGACCACTCACCCATGCTATATTTCGAATCAAGTTTGCATTGTTCTTTTAAACGAATAATCCCATAAAGAGCTTTGATTCGGTAACCAGGACATGGCTATTTCCGACAGCACTGTTAGCAAACAGGAAAATTCAGTTGGTCGCAAAGCGAGGGAGTTATATGGTGCGTTGTGTTTAGCCGGGCTGTCATAGAGACCTCAGTCAGAGTCTTCTCACAAGCGGATGTTACTTTCAAATGACCGGCCAATCGTGCAATGTCGCATCCCAGGGCAACAATCGTACTTTATTTCTCAAATGATCGGGCCCTCATTGTTAGTCGTTGTAACCAACACTTTTTTTCCCGTGTGGTGAGTATATATAAAGCGTCAACATATTGTTTGCAGTCATTTACAACCTTGCACTATACTGTGTATTGCGACTAACAGCCTGATAAAAGCTTAAACAGCTAGCTGAAAGTGAAAAGTGAGTATAGGTTTTAAACTTAATTTAGGATTGTCAACCTATTTACTATTTATTTTGAGCAGTTATTTGCCCAATCTTAACTGATCGTTTGACTAATTTCCCTAGGAATTCTATTTATGTCAGTGCAATAATCATTTATCTTCCGATATCTTAAAAAAAATCATGTTATCAATTTCTTTTAACGTTCGATTTTCGCATACGACAGAACCGAAAACTTGAACATTACTCCTGTGTTTTAATTAATTAATCGTTTTTCATCGTTCACTCGCTAAAAGCATTTTAAAAGAATCAGGACAGAAAGACCAGAAACGAAGCTTCGCTCAAATAAAAGTAAAAATTGTTTCAAACTTTTTTATTGTTCTGAGCTAGGCCTGTCGAAATTTTTTAACAGAAATAGAACGATATGCTGTGAAAAAATGAACCGAATTAAAAAAGTTTCTCCTGATGAGTATCGTCCGGAATCCTAAGGGAAAGGATTAATGGTTAAGAATCGTTGAAATAAAATCCACTAATTAAACGTCATTTTAAGATTTAACATCTTACAACTCCTTATAAAGGTTAAGTAAATCTATTTTAATCATCTACGTTTTTCTGTTTTTCAACTTGTAGCTACGACTGTATCATGTCCTGGTTACTTGCTTCGCTCGTTGTTGGTCTTTGTTTTGCTGGACTCGTCAGCAGTTGGCCCATGGATAGTAAGTCATGTCTTAATCGTTGTCGTGCGTTATTACATCTACAGTTAACTCCATCTAAAACGGACACCTTGGGACCGGACCTGACTGTCCGTCTTATAGAGAATCGAGGTAACGTGAGGGCCTCACTGAAAACCGCCTTGGCGAGTTGGGCTCCCTCTACAAATATTATTATTATTATTATTATTATTATTATTATTATCATTATCATTATCATTATCATTATCATTATCATCATCATCATCATCATCATCATCATTATCATTATTATTATTATTATTATTATTATATTATTATTAACGTGACACCAGTAATTTTAAAGCTTAACCTATTCGCGATGAACACATGTCTGCTTAACTTGTACAAAACAGCTAAAATAAAACTGGAACATTGTAGCAGAAACTGGAATAATTTTACTCATGATGCAATCAAAGGTTAATTACAAGCAAACGTTCACGGCTTTGTGGTCTAAAAGCGTAACAGTATACACTCAGCGAACTGGAGCAAGACTACAAAATTTTAAACATTTTCGGCAATTTACTGTTATGTAGAGCACCTGAATTTCCGTATTGAGGTATTTTTCAGTGTATAAAGCACTTCTTAATTGTTCGTTGACGGTTTCAAAAGTGAACGTGGCCGTCTTCAGTCATACAGTCTAGTAAAACAAAAGTACTGACGTCCATGTCGTTTTTTTATAATGAACAGACTATGCCTTTCAATTTCCGAGAAAAGGAACGGCCGATTATGCCAACCTCTGGAACATGCCCAGTTTGAAGGCGTCGACCGTCTGTTTCTGAATGAAATCATCCGCCTCTAATGCAGGAACACCATTCAGTTATGCTCTTCAAGGAGAGGATAACGAACTGCTTTTGTTTAATTACAAGGACTTTGACTTACGTATTGGTGGTAAAAAGAAGTAAGTTATATACAATTAACGGTGTATTTCTTTGGAAAAACTCGAGACTAATAGGAGAGGATAACGAACTGCTTTTGATTAACTACGATAACTTTAAGCTGCTCGTTGGTGGTGAAGAGAAGTAAGTTGTATACAGTTGGTGTTTTTTCTTGGAAGAACCCGCCTGAGACTTAAGCCATCCCCTTTACTTACTGTATTTCTCCTCCTTTAGCGTTGTTCCAACCGACCGACATTTTTTGACATTTTCGTCATAAAACAGGAATGACGTAATAATACCTTTTCTGACTATAATTAATTATTTTAATCTGAAAAATGAGCATTGTAACAATATTTCCAGGCATAGACGTTAGGGTGATGTATCCTTTTAGCTTTTTACAAGGGCCGACCATTTGACTTTTGAGGGGGGTATGGGTGATTTGGTTTGGGTGAGAATTTTTTTCCCCAAACCCCTGGATATAGAATATTCTTTCCCGACACACAACAATGTAAAATTTTTTTCTCCAACGTTATTCACCAGGAGAAATACTTTTTTCAGTGTAGGATTTTTTTGCCCAGGTGTTTCCTTGCAAGATTTATTTTCCTTCGAAATCAGTAAAACGCTTGGCCCCTGATACCATGACATCGAAATTCATATTTTCCGCCATATTGAGTTTGTGTCGATTTGGTGACAATTTCTTGTCGTTTACCCACTCCACGTCGATGATGCTGGGATTTCAGGCCTCCTATTCTCAGACTTCTTTTGATTTATTTAGGTCTTTTTATCCAAACCTCCAGATCATACGAAAGGTGAATTCAATAATTGTTTTATCATTTATTCGAAATAATTTATACTTTAAGAATTAACTAGTAAACGATTCCGTGTGAATAGTCCGAGTTTGGGCCGCTCGCCCGACGTCCTCTTCAGTTTCAGATTTCCGTTTAACCCAGTAAATCCAGCCAGAGCGTGAATTCATTACATTCATTCTTTATTTATTCAAAACAGTGCTGCCGTCGAATAAGCAAAAATTGTTTGATTGTTTGATTGTTTGTATCAGGATTGGGACATAGACCTTGAAGAGCAGCTTTTTTTTTCCTTCTATGCCGATTTTTTTACCTTTCTAAACAAAACAAGGAATAGAAAGTTTGCCTATATATTACCGTTTTTTTTTTTTTAAAGCAGTTCCAAATAAGCGCCACCCTTAAACAAGTCCACCATAAACACCACGATGCTCATTTCTAGTAAATAGAGTAAATTCACAGTGATTCATTTTCGGGTTTTAGAAAGACTAATCAGTTAGGGGAATTCGAATCAGGATACCGGGAAAGTTATGCTTTTGGAATCTGAAATCAGGGGAATTTCCTGGGCTTTGGAATCCGGAATACAACTCAAGGAATCCGGAATTCAACTAGCGATTTGAGCCCGGAATCCAAGTTCCACTGACATAAAATCAGGAATCGAGTGCCTGGACTCTGGAATCCACGGCGTGGAACCCAAAATCTTGGACAAACAAATTGTTAAGAATTGTGCACTTTCTTATCCACAGAACCCCAATCCATCCTGCGGATTTTGTGCCACAATGACCTTACCCCTCCCCCCACCCTGGACAATGTTGTTCATTCGCGGTCAGAAATAATCTATAATTTAAAATTGCTTTTTTGGGGGGGGGGAGGGGGGAGTATTTTCAGTTGTCAGTGCTTTCAAGGGCTTTATCTTGAAACTAGACATGACAACGTCAATTTTTCTTAACATTTTTGTCCAAGATTGCAGAATCCTAGACCAACTTGTATCCCCTGACGTGGGGTGATACCGGTATGATCCAACACTGATTCCTCTTTTTGCCAACAGGACGATTGGAGTATCAGCAAATGATGGTAAATGGCATGCTATCTGCGTGACCTGGGACAACAAAAATGGCACTTATCAGTTCTTTAAAGATGGAGCGATAGAAAAACAAGAGACAGACTTTATGAAGGGCTACACCATCAAGGCTGGGGGAACTCTGGTTCTAGGACAAGACCAAGATAATGTCGGCGGCGGCTTCGCCAAAACGCAAAGCTTCCGAGGAACCATGGATAACGTTAATGTGTGGTCCTATGTCTTGCCGAAAAAAGCTATCATTGCTTTTTCTAAATCTTGCTCCTTTGGAATGGGGAACGTGTACAAATGGTCGGATTTCAAATACGGTGTCAAAGGAAAAACCGCGGTTGAAATGCCGTCTTCTTGTTCACCGATCAACAATTGATACGTGTTAGCAGTATGCATCAGTGTGTTTTCAGTATACTACTTAAGTGCCCGAAAGCAATTTAACTTAATCAAACTTTTCTAGCCATGTGTTAACGGTGAAACGAATGATTTGTTTTAATATAGTCAGTTTTTTTGTGTAACGTGCCATGTAATAGGGCTAAGAACACATTCCTATAGTCTTAAATAAAACTTGTACCTCGCCGCGAATTTATTTTGTTTTTTATGAATTATTCATTAAGGAGATTTAGCAACGACGGCAGCGAAAACAGCAACGGTTTTTTTTGTGAAATTAATCCAATTCGGTCAAACTAAACGTCAAACGTAGGTGAATTTTGCCGGAGTTGAATTATTGGGCACTTCAGCCAAGTTCGGAAAGAGAAGACAAATTGGTCATCACCTGTTCATGTCTTCTAAAAGAAGTCAGATCAGCTTCACGTCATGGTCGTGCAGAGATTAGAGAGATTAAAACTACAAAGAGGCGAAAATGCATTTTAAAAGCGCTACGTTTTCCACAAATAATGGCCGAACATCGAGATTGTTCAGTTTTTATGGTATTTCTAACCATAAAAACCTCATCCGAAACATCTCGATAACGCTCTTACAGATTTCGCTGAAACTTCACGAACATCGAGGCGGTTATTGGAGGAAGAAGCTCCCGTGAACGATTTTGAAAGAACCGTTCCCTGCACCGAGAAATACAGCTGCAAGTAAAATTGTAATGGCGTTATTTCGTTGCAATGACAACTCCGATGTCGTTGTAACCCTGATCATAACAAATTTCGTCTTTATCTAATATAGCTGTGGTGATAATGTCCTCAAATCTTTGTTAATGGCGACGTAGTTTATGTGCAAACTTGGGAGGTATTGACTCTGAAAAACCCTATCGAGCCACCTTAAGCCTATTTATTTAACTGGAAAATCTGGACCATTTACACAGATAAAGATATGTCTATAGGTCGTGACTTAACACTAAGTCCTAGTAAGAGTGCAAATCTTCCTTATTTCTACATATGGAATACAAGAAGTCTTCAGAATCATTCTTCGGACATTTTGTATTTTTTAATATCTTTTATTCTAGAATTTTATGAAATGACTGTAACTTTCAACTGCGGAAATAATTTTTTTGTCCTTCCCGTCGTCGTTGCTAAAGCGTTCTCTTCATTTGATGCGCAGAGAAAACGTGGACCTGGAGAGGGGTGGTGGGGAGGAGCCGGGAGGGGGACAGATGGAAGAAAGGGAGAGGCAAGAAGAAGCATACCACACCCCTATGACTGTTCCTCGGCTATTTTGTTTTGACAAGACTAAAACAACACCCAGAGAAGGAACGCTTGATAAAACATTGAAGTGATCAGGTAGCTTTCAGAATAAAAGCAACAACTACATTGTACCTCTCGACGGAGATTAGTTAAATGACCATCAATGTTTTGTTTTCAAAAGGGAGTACAAAGTGCTAGAGAAGGTGGTCGAAAAAGAATGAAAAAAAAAAAGGAAACCCCTGAGATGTTTAATCTGATTTACGAAAAGAAATAAAAGCTTAGCGGTCTTATTTTTCGTGTAAAAGAGACACTCTTTAACTCTGTAAGCGATAAAGTAAACTGTCTCTTAAAGGATACCCCTTTGCCTGTAGCAAAGGGGGATTGCTTTAAGAGACGAGGAACCTTTGCCAATGTTAATGTGTGGTCCTATGTCCTGCTAAAAAAGCTACCATTGCCTTTTTAAATCTTGCTTCTTTGGAATGGGAAACGTCTAAAAATGGTCCGATTTCATCTACAGTGTCAAAGGAAAAACCACGGCTGAAATGCCGTGTTCTTGTTCTCCCGTCAATAATTCATAGGTATTAGGCTGATTAGGGTATGCAACATTGTGTATTCAGTATATTACTCAAGTAGTCTAGTCAAAAAGACATGTGCTCGAAATTAAACATTCCGCCTAGCTTTTCTAGACACGCCCGCGCGCACAAACGTCCGGAACAGGCTAGCGCGCTGCTGCGAAAGATCACTACGAGGGGGAGAGAGGAAAAGAAAACGCTTGCGAAGGCAAAACCGCAACAACAAACCAGTGACCCATGCGGCTTAGAAATCACCTGGCATTAGTTATTAAGCATCGTTGGCACTGAGACAGTCTTTCCGTGCGGTCCGAGTGGAGTAACTGTTTCGATATTGAAATCTTGGAGTACCATATAATAGACGTAATGAACGCAATTCGTGACATTTATCTTTTAAGTAGCCTATCATTTTCTGTTTGCTATGTATTCAAATCTCGCATACATGAAGTTCATCTTTTATCTGTATTCATTGTTCTTTTATAGCCCACGTTGAAGGTTTGCGTTGCAAACCGAAACATTGGGCAAATATAATTCACCATTTTATTTTTGTTTTCTTTTTTCTATTTGCTTGCTTGCTGTCGTAAGGATCAGTTTACTGTTTTAAGCTTTAAAATTTGAAAAGAAAAACTCGCGGGGATGATCAGAAGGGGAAAGAAATTCTGCCTTGATATCTTTTACCTGGATGACTCTTTGTGCCAAATTATGGTGCTTGGCGCCCTCTAAAACGATTACATGGGGGTACACTGGGTACTAGTGCGATTATTTCCCAGAATGCACCAAAACTCAGTCTGTCTTCACCTCTCTTCTCTCCCGTACAAAACAGCCGGAATATTTCTCTCTTTTGTAAGCAAAAAAAGCAAGATGTCTATAAACGACGCTGAAGTTCAAAAACAAGTGAGTATTTGTAGTATTTTTTCTACTTTTTATTCGTTTGTTATCAGCGTTATTTTAGCTTTACATGTGTTAAATCCACCGGTGAGAGTTCACACTGAGGGTCGACGCCGTTTCTGTTGCAGATCGAACATATGATGGCATTTATCGAACAGGAAGCCAAGGAAAAAGTAGATGAGATCGATGCCAAGGTATTTCACAAAAAAGATTTAGTGCAGTTTTCAGTTTAATGATTGTAATCGAACAATTTCCACTCCGTTTTAAGCAGTGTTTATAATTATTAGTGACGTCACTGGTCAACTGGCTGTCACCTGATCTTATTAGACGTTTAATAAACCCTTTAAACCCCGGTATCAAAATTTAAATTCTCATTTGTTGTCCTTATACACTTCCATAGAAGCAGTGGCACAGATTGTTGAAGTATCAATTAAATTCAGCTTATGTGATCAATTCCTTTTTAATAATGCACCTATTATTGCCACTCCCCTAGGGGGACGCCAGGCAAGGAAGGGGACTTGGTAAAAGACCCTGTGAAAGTGCTTAATTCTTCCGTTCTTGATGGTGGCATAGAGCAGTCAAAGTTAAGAAATCCCCCTTCATAAAGGGGTATGGTATTGAATAACATGAAACCACAGTAAACTTGAGATGCCATTGTAATGACCCAGCTCACTTGATTAGAAGAAGCAAGCTTATACAAGGAATAACACAAAATGAAAATGGATTTACATAACAGTACCTGAGATTATGGAGTCTGCCATTAGTGTTTTCACCATGAAGAGTATGGTAATCCCACATTCTTCTGGACCACTGGTCTATATATCCCTGATTTAAGAAACCTTGAAATCAACCTCATTTCTTTATACAAAGCCCTGGTTTCCCTTGTGGTGCAAGGATCTAGTAAAGCAAACCTCCCTCATTTCCGACTGCCTCCAGGGTAAAATGAACTTTCATATCCCCTCTCTAGTCCCCATTCAAAGTTTATTTACATAGGGTCCCCCCCCACCCCAGGGGATGGCCAATGATAGGTGAGTAATTCTCATAGAACCAAAATGTTTCTTAAGAAGCATAGATATTACAAGGAGAAAATTTAAGCTGTATCCCTCTTAGGACTTTAAGGTTTAATGCTAAAATGAATCAGCTGTTATTGGATGAGGCTGAGTATGATGTGGAGAATTATGCAGATCTTGGACAGTGTGATCTGCATAATTCTTCATATCATACGATAGCAGAATCCAGTAGTTGTTTTTCTATTCATTCAGAATAATTCCCAGGTTAAAAACGTGCAAAAACGTGCTTACCTTGATCAGTGTTAAGTTCTGTCTTTATTTGTCTGTTTCTTGGCAAGTTCAGGGTATGAAGGGATTTTTAGTATTGTCAGCTTGCACTGTCACGCAATGAAAAATAAAATGCAAACCATTCAATACAGAAGGACTAGAATCTGGGAAATGAAAAAAGATGAATATACAAAAACCCTTGCCAAGAATCAGGTCTGTGAAATATTTCAAATGCGAGATATTGGGAAAAACAGTTTACCTAAATTATAAAGCTTTGTATGGAAACGCCATGTTGGTGTCTCTTTTAGGAACACCAATATGGCCTCCGGATACCAACAGAAACATCTGTTATCGAGTTTTCCTACTAATGCGTGAACTCTTCGCATGAGGAACTCATAAAGATTACAGTAATATTTATTCTGAGACAAGGAATGTTTAGATTGCAAAATCTCCCAAAATTGGTAATGTTTTTAGCCTACATAAGAGCTTTCCCGGCCGCCAGCTAAATGCCGCGTCACACAAAAGCCTGGAAATTCAAGCGTCCTCTCTCGCAAAGCGAAGAACCCTTTCGAACCAAAAATTTGTTTATGTAAAGATGTTTAGGTACTGTAATACCTCGTGAAAGTAGAAACTCAGAAGAATCGATAGTTTCTTAGTTTGATTTTTGCTGACATCACCTGCAACCCAAGAATAGCCAATATTCTTTAAATAGCAGATGTCATCTTTCCAGTTGTATTCTTGCTGTTCTTACTATGTTTTTAAGCAGTAGTTTGGGTTTTTTTTCTTCACGAAACATGGAAATGTTTGGCCATTTTCTACTACCCTACAGGATGCTGTACAGTGTAGCTAAACAATGTAACCTTGTCTCCAGGGCTTCTCGCCCTTATTCCCTTTTTCTGGGGGTTACCCTGTATTATTGACATCATTTTCCAGATATCGCAATGTCTTCCAAATTTTATCAGCACTAGCTGTTTATGAAGAATTAGCCATGGGATTTGAGCCATGCAG